TTTTGTTTTTGGGTTCATAGCTGGGACTCTAACAGGAGCTGCTACCCTGGATCAGAGTTGACCTGGGAATATCAGCAATTAAGAAGTGGTTCTACGCTTTTCAAAACCTCCAATCTCCCGATCAGAGGCCTTGCTGCCGGATGTAGTTTATCGTCATGCCCAGTACTTAATAGCGTTTCTTCGGCTTTGTACATGGACATTATTGCGAAAATAAGCAAGGAAGATCGCATACATCAAAGTAGATAATCTAGATCAAGTGGATGATGTATCTGTATATCTTAGATCATGGTGGTACTCCTCACGAAGTTATTGATGCTAGAATCACAATCGCATCTTTTTGAATCGATTCTTTCATGTGTTTTGCCACCAGAACGAGATTCTTACTGTAAAGTTGGAAATGTTCCCAAACCATTTTCTGCCTTTACGAACAACTCACGTTTAATTCATGGCTGTTTTAATTTCCGTACCGACCATCACACACAGATGCATTTTAGCCAGTTGCTTAAGAAGCAATAGATGCCAACAGATATACATTAAGACCGCCAGCAAGGATTATTACATTTAATACAGTCAGGCTTAAATGCAACCAACTCTAGTGAAATCAAAATTATATTGTAAAGAATGAAATCAAAACCTGTTTTCTCAAGTGGTAAGTCATTTACGGTTTATAGCAATCTTACGCATAGAGTGTCATGAATGTCGTCATTGCCTGCTCTATGAATTTCATGAAGGCGGAAATGCAAAACGGATTCTACAAAGTACTTGTGTGGTGTATCGAGTTACAGCTGCAGAGCATAGATGCAGGCAATGTTTTAGTAAATTTGAAAAGAGTTCTGCTATTTTCTCAAAGCCTTATTCGGGAAAGTCAAACACTTTATACAGAAATCTTTTGAAGCCTTATGTTGTAGCAGATCTTCTTCAAAGAGATTTAACAAACAAAACGGCACAATACATCATGTTCGACAATGCAAAAACCTGACAAGTAAACGGAAAAAAAAGAAAGCTAACGGAATATGTATTTCTCGTGAATTCTCCCGGGAATATCGTGTGTAACGTTCAATATTTTGCAAAGATGCTGACAATAAGTGAAAAACTATGTTAATCTTTACCTATCAGCATCAAATACAAGAATGTAATGCTTGTCAGTCTATTTTCAAACAATCCCAAAACCGAACCATGAAATTCTTTTATAATTAAACATCTATTTCGTCCTGTTCATATCTATCATAATATGTGCATATCTGTCTATGCTGTTTACATATATATATATATATATATGTGTGTGTGTGTGATTTGGTTCATATCTATCTATCTATTTTGATATATTCATATCTATATCATCTATTCAGTGATTGTATCAATTTTTATTATTTTTTTGTTTCCCCATCTCCGTCTCTTCATAGTTTTCTTTTGAGTAATCAATTTCTTTTGGGTGATGAAATAAATCATGCATATATATTGGTGTAGCATACCTACGGAAGATAATGGGTATGTCCCCCTTCACATAAATGCAGTAGTAAATACTGTATGTTGGTTTGCATTTGGAGATTCATTGTGGAAGTCACTTGACTCACTTCTAGCAGTTGACGACTTCTTCTATGCGCTGCTGACGAAACTTATATGTGTTGTTCTTGTCCAAAGTATCAGCATTCGTGTGATTATTTGTATGCAGTAAACTTCCCTGGGTTACAACACACACACACACACACATATATATATATATATATATATCAGTGGGGATAATATATCATCAACTTATGTCGGGCCCATTAAAATCTTTAACAAAATATACTATTGATATAATTTAGATGCCAAAAAGATTTACTCTAACTAAAATAAATTATTTTTAACAATCTCTTTACATGAAATTAAAATCAAAACACTTTGGTATTCTAATATTAATTGTAATAATTCTATATACCTTATTTATTTTGAAAAGAATTTTTTCAGATATGTAAGAAAAAAATAGTGAAGAAAAATCCCGATATTTCTATTTTTTTAGAATAACGTGTATATATATATATATATATATATATATATATATATATATATATATATATATATCGAGTGTGTGTTTGTATATATGCCTGTGCGATAGTGTGTTTATGTATCTCTTTGTCTGTGATTTATTAGTTTAATTTATTGTATGAGTATATAACAGATATCATAATTCCTCAACACTATCCGAGTCACACTCCTCAACCCAACCCTCCAGTTGACGAGTTAAGGCTGCCACTTTATTTGGTTTTTGCCGAATTTAAAGTAAGACTAAATTTAATTTGACCTTTCTCACAAGACAGATTCCACTAAAAAAATTGTACTGTACGTAATAAATTAATTAAAATTTACATTTGTAAACAATCAGTTGAGATAAAAATGTTCATTGAAAAACAGGGCATACTAGTCATTAGAGTTTTTTTTTTAAAGTTATTCAGAAATTAAAGCAAGAAATACATTGCCTATCAAATATGTCTCCAGCTTCGATCAGGCTCTGACATCCTCAGCCCAACTACTCACGTTCATTTTATTTCATTTTTACTTACTTCCTTTCCTTTTTATTTTCTTTCTTTCTTCTGTCTTTCTTCTGGCTTTCTTTCTTCTTTATTATAAACAATGTCAAGGAAATGTATTTCGGTCAATATTTTGAGGCACAGACTTAATACAATTATTTTGGATCCACGTTAAACACGACAAGTCCGACCGCCGACCAAAGGTTTTATATATATATAGAGAGAGAGGGAGAGAGAGGGAGAGAGAGGGATAGAGAGAGAGAAAGATTTAATAAAAAAATAAAACCCTTTGTCACTTAGCTAATTGATGTGATATTCAGCATCCAGACCCCAGAGTTTCGTAAACAAACCCGTACGTCCACTTGCCAGGACATATCAACAATTGACTGCTTATACCTAGCGATTTTTCTTTTATTTTTCTATGTATGTATCATTGATGAAAGTATTTTTCCGGGCGTGTGTGTGTGTGTGTGTGTGTGTGTGTGTGTGTGTGTGTGTGTGTGTGTGTGTGTGTGTGTGTGTGCGCGCGTGTTTGTGTGTGTTTGTGTGTGTGTGTGTTTTTGTGTGTGTGTTTTTGTGTGTGTATTTCTAAAGAATTAATAGATTTTTTTATTGCTTTAAACATTATTTTTAGAGGATAATGATATTTGAGTCGACGCTCTGGTTACTTTAGACCATATTTTATTTCATCTACTGGGCAAACATTCGAGAAATCTTATTAAAGAATAGTGGCCTTCCAGCATTTTTCTTTATATGTATATAAGTATTTTCTTTATACATATATATATATATATATATATATATATATATCATTTTTATGTCATAGGTGCGTATTAAATAATTACAAACTTTAATTGTATTTTGTATAAGTTATTATATTTTGAGGCTAGTGAAGAAGTCTATGGTTTTTTCACGTTATTTGTTGCAAAAACTTATTTATCGAATTCAATCTGCCCTTGCTGCAAGCGTTTCAAGAAAGGTGACCACTTGAACTATAACAAAGATGTCTTGCCAGAATTTTTTTTTAATATAAACAGTTTTTATTAGAGTTATAGGTATTTTGCAGCCACACAGTACACACACGCACAAGTTTTCTGTTTGATAAAAATATGAGTTTATCCCTAAAATACATCTTACAAAGTAGAAATATAGATAATATAGATAGATAGACAGACAGAATATATATATATATATATATATATATATATATATATATATATATAAACATTTAAACTTACAAGACTCCATTCAAAACATATATAATAACCTCAACCACCTATAAAAAAAAATTAAAGGTAATGGAAACCCTAATAATAAAAAAAAAGCCAACACTTAACAATATTAACTGCGAACAAGGCCACAATATGCTAACAATGTTCGGAAAATAAAGCATCTCCATAACACTAAAAACATACATAAAACGCACACACTCAATTAAACTGAAAAAATAAAATCATCCTTGATAATGGCTAAAATTATAACCGAAAGCGCTCGGGATTATAGAACATTTGGAACTCTGTGTCCAAAAAAGAAAGTACTTGTTCGAACAGAAGAAAAATTAACTAAAAAGCTTAACTGTAATACTTTGTCTCTCGTTTTTAATGCAACACACACACACAAACACACACACACACACACACACACACACACATATATATATATATATATATATATAGTGTGTGTGTGTGTGTGTGTGTCTATGGGAGTGTCTGTGTGTATTTTGGCAGCATGTTTTCATTGAGGCAAGTTTCATTGAATAATTTAGTCAAGTTTTATGTGCTTATTTTCAATTTTGCCTTTGAAAATAATGAACACTACATTTTTGTCTCAAAAACACGCCCTGAGGATGACATTGTGTTTATGTCGAAAGTATTCAGAATAAAATGTAGCAACACGGTAATTTGCTCTCTTCTTTTAATCATCCTGAAATATGAACGGATCCTCTTGAAAAAAAGCAGACGAAACTTGTCTAAATTATTCAATGAAACTTGCCACAATATATGTGCGTATGTGTGTGTGCATGTGCGTGTGTGTGTGAATAAAAACAAAAGGGAGAGTTATCTTAGCCGATGCCTTTCGTCCTCCCATGGGCTTCATCAATACAAAAGTAAGAATTTTATCTTGCATAATGTGTTTATAATATGTCGTTAGTTTTTCCATTGTATTTAAAATTTAAGAAGGCACATATATATACTTCAGTGTAACTGAAATTCGAGGTAAAATATGGAAGATTCAAAGTGATGAAATCCCTTCTAAACGAAAGTGAGTAGGTATTATTATTGCTGTTGATTTCTTAATGTAATTGTGATTTGTTTTATTCTACTTTGAAAAATTAATTTCTGCATTTATTTACTTTAAAAAATAGATGATTTCGAATTTCAGCGTTTATTTATATTGACTTTTTACAGGTATATTTTTTTTTATATGTGAATTTTTAGATATAGGAATATATAGATATTAACATACATACATACATACATACATACATACTTAGATAGATAGATAGATAGATAGATAGATAGATAGATAGATAGATAGATAGAAATGAGTGAACTGAGCTATTATATACACACATTTTTTTACAACATTTATTTATTGCAAAATAGATAGACAGGCAAACAGCCAAAATGATAGATAGATAGATAGATAGATAGATAGATAGATAGATAGATAGATAGATAGATAGATATAAATAAATTGAGATATTCTATACACATACACTCGTTTTTACCACCACAATTTTTATCTATTAAAAAATAGACAGACAAAAAGATAGATAGATAGATAGATAGATAGATAGATAGATAGATATGAATAAATTGAGATATTCTATACACATACACTCTTTTTTACCACCACAATTTTTATCTATTAAAAAATAGACAGACAAAAAGATAGATAGATAGATAGATAGATATGAATAAATTGAGATATTCTATACACATTCACTCTTTTTTACCACCACAATTTTTATCTATTAAAAAATAGACAGACAAAAAGATAGATAGATAGATAGATAGATAGATAGAACCTACTACACCGAACGTTTCGTGTTCGAGAATACGAAAAAAATCTTTGCGTATCCCCGTTTTCTTAGAGAAAATGTGGTCTGGTCTGAAATGCTTTACACCCTGCTGCCACAGAGAACGTTATAACCCAATAAATTTAATGACATTTTTGGTTAGTGCACATCCTCTTCTTCTTACCTTCTAAAAAGTCCATACCGGACATTACATTCGTATCTGAATTTTAGATATCCATAACCAGTATCATATTTTCCCTGGCTACGTCTCAGGAATGCATAGGCCGGTAGATGTAAAGCATACCTTTAAAAAAATATGGGTCTACTCAAACATGGGTATCTATAAAATAATCTGTTGTAGCAAGATACAATGTCGGATGCAAAATCCATTGATTCCTATGAGTATATATATTTGAATAATTAACTAAAAACATGCATACAATATAACACCCTTCATAATCCATAGCCGAAATAAATAGTTTAAATACCCTAAAAAAAGATAACCCTTTATGAAGTCGTCAAAAAACAAACGTTACGACAGTTTTTATTTGTTTGTTTTTTATATGCACAAATCCCTTTCATAAAAAATAAAATAAAAAAATAAATAAATCTCCATAGACATGCAAACTAGACGAGGGTTAATACATCTTCCGTTTCAAATTTAGACACCCCCACCTTTCCCTGACTTGATATCTACGAAAGTAACACTATACTGATACTTATTATTAACACCCAACACCCGCCTACCCAACTTAAACAATTCGCCCTAGCTGTTACCATGGAAATTTTGATTTCAATTTTTAAAACACGTAAATTTCAGAAACACGTTATTCAAAAAAAATTTCGCTTGAAGATGGAACAGAGCTTATTTTAACTCAATTTAATTTAAATAATTTAAATAATTTAAATAATTATATTGAAGTCTTCGGCTCTTGTTTTGAAACATGGGACTTCTTATGTCGCGATTTGGAATCATATTTTAAATAAATAATTATATTTATGCTCTACTTTTGTATCGAGCACTATTTTTTAAAAATGATAACTAAAATACTAAGGGACTTTGGATTATTTACCTAACCAGTTCCTTCCTATTTTCTATATATTTTCACACACACACATACATATATATATATATATATATATATATATATATATATATATATAGTAAAAGTAAAGCTAAAGAGCTCTTTAGGTTTACTTTACTTTATTGGCTCTATTTAGCGTATTGAGCACTTTGTTTAGTTATTTTTCTCACTCGTGTCGGAGTTTGTTTTTTTTTCTTTGGACTCTGAACGTTGATTCTAGACGATTATTTTCGCCGGAAATATATGTTCTTACTTCTTTCTTTTTTTTTATCCTTTTTTTCCGTTTGTTGATTTATAAGCTAAAAGACCTAAGGTTTTGTCGAACGAGTAAACTGCTTATATTTTATAAGATTATTAATGTTATATATATATATATATATATATATATATATATATATATATATATATATATATATATTCATTTCATTTCAGCAAAGCAGACAATTTTGATGAACATCACGAAAAGTATATCGTTCAAGAACCATCCGAACTGACTCATATATATAAACGAAACCCAAGTACAAATTATCATCACACATCAATTTAAGAGCAATGTATGTATGTATGTATGTATGTATGTATATGGTAAGATAAAGAACAAATAGAAAACGCTAATCAATATAATCATATTGTGTGCGGTCAAATCTATAGTTATAACATTTTAGTAGGAGTTTTGTATAGATGTAAGTAAAGTTATTGTCTTTTAAATTAGTTTCCTGTTTAACCATAAATTTGACCACACAGAATTTCGTTAGAGTGATAAACCTTTTCTGGTTATTTTTTTTTTTTTATCTTATCAATCTGTTGGATTCCGATCCATATTTGATTTATATTTGATCACCACTGATCATATACATACATACATACATACATACATATATATATATATATATATATATATATATATATATATATATATATATATATATATACGACGTCATTATATTTACCTTGAAGGATTTTCTTTCAGTCAACACTTTTTCAAAAGATGGACGTTAACGCAATTAAACAAAACTAGACACAATTACAAAAATTGCGAATGAGGAGAAGAAAGTGGAACACGATTAACGCAAATTCATTTGTAAATAATTAACGCAACTTAACAGTGTTATAAAACGTAGTAATGCAAGCCTAAACTCTATCAGTAATCAACTGACACTTCCTTCCTAACCATGGCAATATTTAAGGTAAATTGGTCACCGGCTGGGTCTTAAAACTACTGGTTCTTTAAACCGCCTGGACTTACGTTAGATAACACGCTTAATGACATTAACAGGAAAACCAATTTCTACAAAAAGTTCTCCGTTTAAGATAGGTATTTAATCTAGGTATTGCTTTCGATGAGGAACTCACCTGGTCCAGGCAGGTAAACCTGGCTATTTCTAAGGCATATTCTAAGCTAAAAAAAAATGCATTACGGTTTAAATATTTTGTAAGTGAAACATCGAAGCAAAAATGAATTGAAAAGTACATTCTCTCTCCATTTAATTATGGTATTTTCTTGTGCCAAATGTAAGTGAACAGTTGAAAAATAATATTCAAAACTTAGAATAGATTTGTATTCGTTTCGCTTTCAATTCATCCAAATATGATCGTTTAAGTGACTTTTTAAAAGAAAATAATATTTGAAATATGAAAATAAATGTCTGTTACATTGCCTCGTTTTAATGTTCAATATAAAAACTAATAAAGCGGTCATGTATCTGTTGAAACGTATAAATACTAGTAGTGAAATACATGGATATTTCACTAGAAATAGATGTCAAATGGATCTCACTTTTGCTAAGACTAAACTAAGGAATACGTCTTTTTTCTTTTTTCTTTTTTTTGTCTTGATATACAAGAAATTCAATGAAATTTCAAAAGCTATAAATACTAAAATTATTTCTTTGTACTCATTTAAAAAATGTAATAAGAAATATTTATTGGATTCAAAATAAATTTGTATTTCTCTTATAAACAATTATCAAAGTATTTTCTTGGCTAGTCGATGTCAGTTCCTTATTGGCTTCTTAACACCCTGTATATGCGTATGAGTGGAGGCACGGTGGAGTAATGGATAGCGGCTTGGATTGAGGAATCGGAGAGCCGAGTTCGAGTTCCACTCGAATCCATTACATTCACTTACGTGCTTATACCCTTGGGAAAGGTGTGAATCCTCTTCTTCTCCCTCCAGCTATGGGTAAATAGCAGGCCAGACTGGGTTCTATAGCCTTGGATGCCAACTGGTCAAGGAGAAGGAAAAAAACTCTGAATTCAAAACCTGCAGAGGGCCGTTTGGGGACCTTGTGGTACTTAGTGAACCAGGTCTCTGTATACGGCCCTTCAAAAAGTGTGTATGGTCCTGCACGAAACCTTCACCACTATAATCAAAATCTCATGTGCTATACATGCGGGTCGCTGACCGCTTGTGAATTCTAAATTCCAATGAAACTCCAATATTGGAGCCGGCTCAACCCACCCCGGGTGAATGCCGTTACAGGTAGGTAGGGTAGGGGGTATATGTATTTCAATTTTGTATTTATTTGTTTTTTTAGTACCATTGTTTGTTTGATTGATTTTTGGCACCATGCATACCTGACGAGCTGAAAAGAAATATTCATAGATATATGATTTGTTTTTTACGGTTTATCAACCATTTAATAATTATTTAGGGCCGAAAAATATTTTGGGTTTTAAGAATAATTCTTTCTTTACGTTCAAGCGATCTGGAAGAAGGAAAGAGAAAACGAAGAAGAAAGAAAGAAAAAATAATACGAAAACAGGTCATAGGCGAGCACACACACGCTCGGCTGACAGATAACAGGTGTCGAAAAATATCCAGGTCAAGCATCTAACCGAGATCCGGGGAAAATGGAAGTTGTTATCAATTGGATTGTCACCCAAGGGAAAAGAAAGAAAAGAAGAAACGAAGTTTAGGGACAATGAAAAATATTGATAAGTAACAAGTGGAAACTGTGTCATTGGAATGATAATAAAGGTCTAAGTTGGTGGGGAATTGTATCTAAGGATATGAAGGCAAACCATTAATACGAAAACACAGACAGTCTCCAGAATCAGAAAAAGCCACACAAGACGATGTCGCTGGAAATTTTTTTTTTTTTTGAGATACTAAAGATTTTTATTATCAGACCTTCAAGCGGAGGAAAATGAAATATTTTTATTTCGTTCCAAAACGCCAATGGGTCTGAGAAATTCCTTTCTTAGATCATATCCAATTAGCGATAAACTGCTTGACAAATACCACGTGTTAAAAAACCGAAGGTGTCATCTCAGTCGCTCATGATAAGGGCGATTTAAATTAATATTTTTGGTTTTTAAACAAGGTGTTCTTTCCTAAAACAAAGCCACAGATTTTCCACGCCCGACTAAAGACGTCATTGGCTAAATAAGATCACATGACACACGAAGGAGGAGGAAAGATACCCGACCAGGACCTCATTGGCCGAAAGCGGTCACGTGACGCACGAGGAGAATCGGTCGACGCCCTTGTCAGAAGTGTACGGAGCCGATACGAAGAAGCGGGGAAGAGGGTATACGCCCCTCAGAGGCACAGTAAGGAAGTGGGAGTGAGAGTGAGTTACCGAAAATGGAAAATCCCTAACCAGAAATAAGAAGGGTGGATACTTATTTAGATTTATCGAGAAACCCCTGGCGCCGACAGACCCACCCCAGTTTTGACTGCGTCAATAAAAGCGGGACCCCAACCGACAGAAATCAGAGTTTCAGCCGCGGACGGCGAGAGAGTTTGAGCCGCGGACGGCGGGCCAGGTTCGGTCGCCCCTTTGCGGGCAAGAGAGGCCAGTTCGTTTGGCCTAAGTGAAGAAGTTCGTCCGACCCAAGCCGAAGTGAATAAGTTTGTTCGACCCAAGCTGAAGTGAAGAAGTTCGTTCGACCCAAGCCGAAGTGAAGAAGTTCGTCCAACCCAAGCCGAAGAGAAGTTAATTCGCGCACCGACGGCGGAGATGAGTGACCAGTAATTCAGAAGCCGAAGAGAAGAAGTTAATTCGCGCACCGACGGCGGAGATGAGTGACCAGTAATTCAGAAGCCGAAGAGAAGAAGTTAATTCGCGCACCGACGGCGGAGATGAGTGACCAGTAATTCAGACTCTGAAGAGAAAAAA